GTACTTATTGAGTAATTGATGGTAGGTGCCATTGCAGTTAACTTGCCTTATCTTTAACGACACTGATTCTCTTAAAGGGGTCATATGATGCGATTTCAAGTTTTCCTTTCTCTTTGGAGTGTTACAAGCTGTTCGTGAATAGATAAGATCCCTGAAGTTGCAAAGACTAAAGTCTATTTTGGAATTATACAGTAGCTACCAGACTCATATTTGCACTTACAACTCCTGATTGTCATGTGTCTAAATCACTATTTAAAAGGGCTGTGCCTGCTAAGTATTAACACTATGCAGCGCTTCACAGTTACTGCCGTGTTCCCAACCTCCAAACTGCCATGGCACCTATCATCAATTACTCAATAAGTACCTTGGTCCATGTTTATACCCCCCAACTTGAGTACCGCATAACGTATTCTGTACATTAACTAATAGTTACATACACCAGTACGTACATAGGAAGTATATGGAAATAGGACTGTAAAATAAAGTGCACCATTTTACATAAACATTACACAGGAATTACCAGTTCTTCAAACTTTTTTAAACTTTACCATGTATAGACCATTAGTAAATATAGTAATATGTCTTATTAGTTACCATATACTGACACTACCTGTTAGTGACCGTTATTACTCTCACTTGTTGGTAAGTACTACATATTTACCACGTGTATACCAAGTACAGTATGTGTCTTGTTTGTTACCAACCATGTATATACCATTAGTAAGTATAGAATTGTGTCTTATTAGTTACCATATACTGATACTACCTGTAAGTGACTGTTATTACACACACTTGTTTGTAAGTACTACATATTTACCACGTGTATACCAAGTACAGTATGTGTCTTGTTTGTTACCACATAATACCACATTTTTCTGTAGGTGCTTTACCATGTACATATCATTAGTATGTACAGTAATATGTCTTATTAGTTACCATATACGGATACTGTAAGGACATGCCTGTTTGTACCCACTTGTCCGTAAGTACTATATATTTACCATGTATATACATTAGTAAGTACAGTAAAGTATCTAATTAGTTACCATGTACGGGCACTACCTGTAAGTACCCACACTTGTCTTCTAATTGCCATGAATGTACGACTTAAATACATCCGTGTTTCTTATTCGTTACCATGTACATATACACTTCAGTTAAGTACCTTGTGTTACCACTCATTTGCCTGTAGGTACAAGATATTTACCATGTATGTACCAGGGAAGTACACGTACTGTAAAATAAAGTGCTACCGAGAAGTCTTTCAAAAATATTTAAAAAACCTTATGGACCCCAAATTTCGAATGTTAGTGTAGGTTACGCCAATATGTTTAATAAACTAATAGCACTGATTCATGTTCCATTCACATTTATGAAGTGCATTAACCTCTGCTGCAGTTTCAGGTCCAATCAAATGGGAAAGAATAAAACTATAATAATCTAACTTCAGAGTTTGTGAGCATTGCCTCAGGTCATTTGCCGAAACAGAAGTTGTGCATGTCAGAGACACCCTTACAGTCATCCAATCAGAGCACATCTTGACTACACTACAAAGGGAAGAGCTGTCAGTTTTTGGTGGTGCTGCAAAAGCTCAGGGTTATGTTAGGCAAGGAGGAGAATCTGGTGTTGAGGCAGGCGAGGGTTGTGCTCTGATTCAATAACACTGGTAAGAACTCATTATGAATGCATAGGTAGCCTCCAGCTTCTGTTTCTCCTGAGCTTTCCAGGATTCCTGGCTCTCCATTTTTCTATCTCTTCCTCTCCACTCTCTCCCACACCATTCTCATGGCTTCTCAACTGTGATGTATTTGAATCCGATCGATCATTTCGACTAATGCTGAGACGAATTGATTTGGAACAGAGAATGGAAAAGATCTAATGTCATCTTTTTTCCCCCTTTAATGTGCTATATGTATATATCACATCAAGGAAGGGTTGCATTGATAAACATCTGGTTCTTTTGACAGGAGTTCAAGTATTTTATAAAAGCAGTCTTGGTGCACTGAATCTAAACTACAGGGATGCAGGTTTTGCAGCGAGAGCCCAGCAGCATGAGCAGATCTCATTGTTTCTGCCTTGTGCAGAGAATGGAGCGGTTCCTCGGTACAGTTCTCCCGCTGTCACATTCAGCCTGTGATAATTGATCAGAGAGCAGAGAATGACTCAAAACAACAGAAAAGGGGAATGACTCATCTGCAATGATTTTTTGTAATTCTCAGCTCGTGTTCAGTCTTGCTGGGATTGCTCTGTTAAACGGTATCCATTGAAATTGTGGTACAGTGATATTGTTCTAGTCTCAGACATTCAGGTTCAAGGTTGACAGAATCATTTTCAGCAGAAGAAATACAATAGACCATTTTTGATACAATTGATCTAAAATTACATTTAAAACCCCTTACAAAAATATTACTATTATGTGGTGATGGTGTCAGATGGAATGCCATAAAATTTTTACTTATACCATGGTACTGAATGGTTATCATATTTATATACCAATCTGGCTTCTCAAGAATACCATAGAACTACCAAGGCAAATGTCCGTAAGTGTGTGTGTGTTTGTGCTTTTTTAAAAAGTGTATTTACAGGCTACTTTAATTCAACACTTACAAGTATTAAGAAATACCATATTACCATGTTTTTCTGACATTTACCATAGTGGTTTTAAGGTACATTTATAAGTACCTTTGAGTACCATGTAAATAGCAAATTTCAGTACCATGGTATATCTTAAAGTACCATAGTATTACCTTCCCTTGTGAAAATTAACCATGGTTTTATTATAGTAAAATTGTAGTAACCATGTTTTACTACAAATACCATGGTTAAACTATGATTAGTGTAGCAAACCCATAGTTAATTTGTGTTACCATGATTTAACTATAGTAACCATGTTTTTTTGTTTGTTTAATTTGTAGTAAAACCATGATTAATTTTTGTAAGGGTTGGTATCGCCACCATGCTTTTTTTGTAAAGGAAAAACCTTGGCAATAATTTTCAAAAGGCCATTGTGGTATATGGTATCAGATACTGAATGATTTCTGTTCTCATATTTACATGGTACTCCAAGTTAGTTTTCAAAAAATGCTATACAATCACTATGGTAAATGTTTAAAAACAATGGAACTGCCATGGTAAAAAAAAAAAAAGCCACAGTATTTTTTTCATAAGGGTAACATGTCCATAAAATCCATGGTATTACCATGGTACTTTTTGTTACTTTTTTGTCAGTGAAGATGTCTGTACTGTACATCAATTTCGTTCAGTTTTTTCTATGATGTTGATGGCTGTCGAGCAGCACCCTTTGGCTAGATGTAGAGATGGTTGTGTTTGTTTGTGTGTGTGTGTGTGTGTGTGTGTGTGTGTGTGTGTGTGTGTGTGTGTGTGTGTGTGTGTGTTCCGTTGTGAATCTAAATATGTACCTGTCTCTGGGCAGCATGTCAGTAGTCCTTGGCAAATTGAAGGAAAATTCCTGACCTTGATTTGCAACAAACAAAAACAAAAAAACTGGCGGCTTTAACATTCAGCTGAACCTCCAGAGCCACCTCCCTCTTCCCCTTTCCTCGACAACAGCGTAGTACATGGCTGTTTGGGATGGAGAGCCTGTGTACGCTGCTTTGACAGCTTGTCAGGCCATCCCATGATAATGAATTTCAAATGCTAGATATGCTCTCTGTAGCCAGCAGCCAGTGTGTTCTTACACTGTTTGTGCTCTAACAGGGTGATCTACGGAAGCTCATGTAGTGTGTGTGTGTGGATGCCTAATACAAGCTATATCACAACATGATTCATACATAAGATTTATTATGGTGAATTCATACTCGTACTACCATCTGAATGTCACAGATGTCATATGTCAGTTAAATCGGCTTTCGGATCTTCGTTTTTCTCATTGTCTTTTCTTTCTTCTCCCTGTCTTTCTCTTCTAAAGGTCAAATGAGCTTCTCTGAGATATTCTGAGAGCTTCTTTGCTGCTGAATGCTGGGATAGTGCCTTTGCTATCGATTCACCACTGTAACCACCATTTTGTGTTTTCTTTTCCTCTTTTTCCATCTTCTCGCACTCTGTATCTTTTACTGTCTTTTCCATCTGGACTCACTTTTGTATCAGTTCATCTGTTTGTTTCTACACATGTGCTTTGTTCTTCCCCTCATTTTTATCCCCCACTTCAGTATGTACTTCCCATTTAATTTCCATCTCTCTCCAGAGGACAGCTTTATTGCTCAGAGGTTGTTCTTTCATAGTTCATGAGACTTTAATGGGGTTTTCAGATATATTTCAATTAAGTATCAACATCATCTCAGATGCTTCTCATAAAATTCTATCCTTTAGGAGAATAAAAAAAGTAAATTGTTGACAGTGAGAATATAGAGCTGTAAAACTAATGTGGACAGCATAAAGTAGTTAATTTAATGTGAAATATAATATCATTTTAATATTGAATATAAATACTACTAAATAATATTATTAATTTCTAGCAATAGTTTGATGAGAAATATTTGAGTTCATCTTGAAATATCTGTTGACCTAAGGTTTTAGCATCTTGACAAAACTGAGTACATCTTGTTTATGCATAAATCTGATTAATAAGAACATGCCATGGTTTTTCTCTCAGTCGGGAGGTCAGGGACTGATGTTGGGCAAAGGGGTCTGGATCATTCATGTTAAAGGTGTTCAGTGGTGTTCAGTTCTGGGCTTTATGCAGGCCAGTCAAGTTCTTCCACTCCAGACTCGGTAACCATTTCTTTATGGACCTCGCTGTGTCATGGGACTGAAAGGGCCCCTGTTTTGTCTTCACTGGAATTAGAGTCTAGCCAAAACCCATTAATTAGAGGGCCAAGTATTGTATTAAAGATATCATATTTATGACAATCCTCCTCTCCCTCATTCTCAGTAATTTCTCCGTAATCTCCTCTGTAATTTCTCTATATTAATTTTCTGTCCGTTGTTTGTGTTTGTGTTCCTCTCATGTCTTTTCTCCCTTCTGTGTTTTTCCTCTGCAGCCTCTCTGGAGAGTTCACCGTAACTTGAGCATTCCTGGAGATCCTCTGTTCCTTGTCCATCTTCTCAGACGTCCACAGCACACACCAGACTCTGCAGTCTTCCTCCAGTCCAGTTCTCTTAAAACTCTCCTAAAGCAGATCTAGACCCTCCCTCTGACAGTCCTAAAAATGGATCCAACTGATCTTCAGTAGCTCTTTACAGCATATCAGATCCAAACTCGAAGAATCGCCTGGACTACTGATGTTCTCTTTTGGACATTGTGAAAGACCTGCTGCTGAATTATCTTGTTTGTTGTATGTAATCCTTTCTTCCTGGCAGTGCTCAGCACACAGCCTGTTAGCAAATCAGACTAGCATGATGTTCTATGACATGCCCTGGACTTCCTGGAACAGTACGGAAGAACAGTATCTATCTATCTGTCTCTCTAGATAGCTGTCTGGCTAACTAGCTATCTATATAGGTAGCTATCTAGCTAATTAGCTATCTATAGCTAATTTGTCTATCTGTCTATTTAGCTAGCTAGCTAGCTAATTAGCTCTCTATATCTAACTTGTTTATCTAGCTATCTGTAATTGAAATATACATTTATAGCTAGCTATGTAGCTTATCTAGATAGGTAATCAAGCTGTCTAGCTGGCTTTCTAGCTATCTCTTCACCTGTTAATATTCTAACGAAATAGCAACATGTGGACTCCACCCTTTGCACGTCTGAATATTGCTCGTCTCTTCCTCTCTCTTGTGTCTGCCGTCTCTTAGTATAATGTAAACTGTCTGGTCGGCTTGCTTGGTTAGTTGTCTCTTTGTCTTTGTATGTCCCCAAGCTTGAATTCCCTCGCCATCCATCAAAAGCAAGATCCTGCAATTATGTATCCCGTAGACTGAACTGCACTGTGACTGTGACCAGGTCTCTTAAAAGACAAGCCCACCCTTCCACAGGGAGCTGCGTTCCACCCCAAATCCTTCTTTCATCGCTGGACCAAATGCATTATACTCTCATCTCTTGATCCGGAGCCAATCTTAGGGTTTGACTCATGGTGGAATTCAATTAGAAGGCAGGATGAAGCAACTGAGCTCAGAGCTGTGAAACTGCAAAGAATCAGAAATGTGAGACAATTCTTTTTTCTTCTTTTTTTTTTGGTTATGAAGGCAGGAGAAAGAAAAATAAATGACATGCCTCTCTGAAGTCTCATCCTGCCATTGGGAGAGACAAGGAAAGGAAAGGAATGTACTTTTAGGTATGTAATGGCATAATTATTAAAAAGTGTATAAACATTATTATTTTGGAGAAAAGAAGATGCGAGATGGAGCCTTGAACTTCCCATTCACTGTATCTTTTCCTCACAATCCTCACAAAGGCATCACTGTTAATATGACATGGCCATTTACTGTTACCTTTTTAACTTGGAAGCACATGGAAGTACTGAATCAAATGAACTGTGTCTTTGTACGCTTTGATCATTGCCATCTTTGTTTCAAACTTCCATTACTTACAAGAGCCTCAGACATCAACAAGGCTTACCACAAAGATACTTACCACAATTGTAGCATGACTCCGCAATATTGCACACCTTCCACAAAGGCGCCAACACAGTCGCCGATAAAGGTCCATGACAGCGCAGACCCGCCATTGATTAACCAGAGCGGCTCCAGTTGTTTTGAGGGCTACAGTAATAGGTTACATGCTGCTGATCATGGCATCCGGCCATGCCTGTGATGGAAGGTTTGCCTTACAAGATGCTTTAGATTGCAATGAGATCCAAAAATTGAGTGGTATCGATTAGACCTTGTCGATTAGATCTCATATTGGCTCTTGTTTGGCTCACAGGATGGAGTCAATACTGGGAATCTGGGGGAAAGCATGTTCCAATTAAAAACTAGCTACCATTTCATGCCTTTGTGGGGCCTTTGTGTTTTTTATAGGTCAGAGAGGGCTCAATGCCAGGGGCTTTTGATGACTGAGGAAACTTGTGAAGGGCTAAGAGGGTGAAAACCGAAATGGTCATTGGTTTTATAGCTGATAAACTAGAATAGAGAATTTGTGGTTCTTTAGAGAGAAGTTTTTAAAAGGAAATCACATTTTTGCTCAAAATGCTTTTGTCTTGTACAGTTTAGATGAGCCATAGTAGGAAGTGACAAACAATACACAAGCAACTCTAAATCAGCTATAAAAGACACTGAAGGAGAGTTTTTGTTCTTTTCATTTGGATTAGATTATTAGATGGCAAAATGTTCACCCACAAGGGGTTTGTTTTTGATTTGAACTTTATGAGACCATCTCATGGTACATTAACCGCAGAGTTCAAGTCAATTCAAATTGTTCAGCAAAAACTCAACAACAGCATACTGTCGATTCAGACTCTTAGTTCGCCTTAGGGTGTTTTTGTTATTTTCTAAGAAAAGTGCATATGAATTATTTAATTTTTTAAAGATGAAATTTTATAGCATATTCTAGAGCTGTACAATATACTAAAATTGTGTTTAATAATCACATTAAAAAAGATACACAGTACTTCTATATAAAAAATATAATATTATATATATATATATATATAACATTCTTTGAAACATGTCAGGATCAAATAATGATTTAGTCATTCTCACGAGAGTCTTCAAATAAAAATAATGCCCACAATGAAAAACAAAAAGGCAAACACTAATGATCCTTTTTGATTTTCAAGACGGTAGACCTTGAAAAAACACATTCATAATAATAATAATGCACAAATGTACAAGGATAATTAATGAATTAACATTCCCTGTCTGCTCTTTTATTTGTGAGATTGCCTTTAGATCCACAAAGACTCCAACACTTCTTTGAGGAATAGAATATGACTTTTGTTAGATACGCACCTCTCTGCCAGTGTAGTTCCATCTGGCATAATATAAAAACGTGTTCGATTGGCATTCTAACTCTAGAAAGTTGTACCTTTGACTGTGGAGCTGCGTTTAGTGGATTATTAATGTCCACACATGTACTGATGTAGTCCACGTTGGTTCTTTTATCAGCTCTGAACTAGATTGGAGAGCTGAACGGCACACCTGCACACAAATCAAGTGATCGTTCGCCTCAACAACTGCACAAATTACTCAATGGATATACTGAGGTTATTTTCTTGCATACATTATATTGTTGATATTTTGATGTGTTCATGCACACACTTACACCACCACACCGATAGAAATGCATAATGCTGTACACATTCATTTAAATAATGTCCGTTAACATTTACACCCATAATACACTATAAAAAAAACAGTTTTGACACTATGCGAGCATGTTTTTATTATTGTGGTTATTCATTTCTGATGTTTTGAATTCGGAAGGCATGCAGACCAAACTCTCAGACCCCTTTTCCTCTATATCCATATAGTGTGCCTACTCATTAATATTCATGAATATGTTAATATTCGAATAAACATATTAATATAACAAGGCCATTCTTTGTGTTTTATTGAACCCAAGAACGATTTGAATCCGATGCTTATTATGGCTGTTCATTAGGTGATAATGCGTGAAATGGTCTTTATTTAACTGGTTTGATTTCCTTTTAATCATACTAGATTAGGAGAGTGGACAATAAACAGGATGTAGTTCTTTTAAAGGATTTAAAAGAGAAGTGCAACCAATAAAATGGATGTCTGGTGTGTTCAGTGGCTGGTTTCAACGGCACATTAATGTAGATTGATATTGACTGCGCTATGTCTTACACGTATACAAGGCAGCAGTGAGAACGTCATCACCCACAAAGACACACGCACACACTTTGTTCTCTTGCTGACGGTAAAGATTCAGGGTACCTTGTGGGAGAGAGTGAGAGATGAACAGACGGAGAGATATGACAGCCCATCACTCCACCTCAATCCCTCTTTACTCTCCAGTGACTCTACCTAAGACATTCTCAGCATTTTACAGCTCTTTCTTTCAGCCAATCTCTCTCTCTCTCTCTCTATCTCGTGCTCTTTTTCTTTATATTCTTGACTGCATTTGCACTTGCTCTGTCCTCTCATATCTATTTCTGAGCTGTTTCCATATCTATCCATTTAAAATCCTTCTCTCTGCTCCCTCATACTTGCATGCACCTTTCCTCAATCGTGCCATCTCTGTCACGACTATTAAAATTCAGCAGTATTGCAGTCTCTGTGTATCTATAAATACATACTTAAATATATGTCAGCCCTCACTCTCCAGCACAATTCTGCAGCACATATAGGCGATATATGCAAGTATGAGCCTTCTGGGTAGCTACATACCAACATTGGCTGCCATTAATGATGGCCCATTACTAGAAAGGACAAAAAGGCTTTTTTCACACTGCACATAACTGTTTTTCATATCTGACCTTTTAGATGGACTCTACGTGCTGCTCTTTTGCTAGTGATGAAATTCTACTTTTTGTACAGCAGTATATACAATTTCCAGCAATATCTGTTCAAATGCTTTGAAAGAAGAAACATTTCTTATCATTATCCATATATATATATATATATATATATATATATATAGCATCTTACTGACCCCAGACTTTGAAAATTCGGCATATGGGGGGTTCATCAACATTTGAACTTGTTCATTGAAATATATATATATGTTTTCCACAAACATACATTTCATTAGAGTGATCTTTATTTTCTTATTTTATCTTATTTTACATGATGACATTACATGATCACTCATTAAATCTACTTGTCCTTAGACCATAACTTAATAATTATAGATTAAAAATATATTAAACCTAAAATATATAAAAACATATAAATATCTTATAAAGAATATCATATATATAATATATTTTAAAGAAGTTTGCTATGTCCTGACAGCAGGAAAGGGTTGATTTAAACAAAAATGTTTAGAAAGTTTATCAGGTGTCTCTATACTTTTTTCTAGCATTGTCAGGTATTTAAGAAAATTTAATCCTGAGGGTCTTATTTCCATATTTAGTCACAGGTATGATGAGTTTATGGTTTTATGGGGGTTTATTATCATTTTAGAACATTTTTAATAATTATAATTTGGAGTCACTTTGCTCATATTTTTTGTCATATTGCATAACTCTGTAACAAATTAAAAGATATTGTTTGGGATTTTCAGATAATTTAATTTTAAGTAGATAATATTTCTGCCTAGAGCAACACCTATACACACACACACACACACACACATATATATACTGTATATATATATATATATATATATATATATATGCAAAATGATAATGTCCGTCTGACTGTCAGATTTGAAAATCAGTTTAAAACTATCTTGTAATCTCATTCATTCATTCATTAATATAATGTATCTCCTGAATTTTACTTGCTTTAGATAAAAGCATCTAAATTAATTCATATAAATATGTCCACATACCAGAACTGGTCATGATTATGCAGGTAGGAACACACACTCAGCTCAGGACAGAAGTGAGCATTACTGGTCTGAGGCTGTAGGCCACAGGCGGTCTCGCTGCCT